CACGCACACACACACGCACACATTGCTGCACATGTTCGCGCATATTAAAAGTTTAATGTAAATGTAATGAGCGCCAGCGCATGCAAATGAACAGTTTTTGGCGTTGGTCCTTTTTACTTTCTCGCTTCGCTTTTTTAATGCCTTGAACCCAATTCCAAAGAGAGTTCTGGGCATATTCATTTTGTGCAAATGTATGTGACAGCCAGCAGAAGGCGTGGCTGATGCCTTGAGTTAAATACAACTTAATATTAGATTAAGAATTTATATAAAACACATTACTTGAAGTTAGACTCGTGCTAATGCTAGCCACTACTATTTTTATGAACAACTAAATTTTAATTTTAATTTTTTCTTGCCTGAAGTGCAGGGTCACATTTAACTAAATAAAAATATGCTAATGCTAATATTCGTTGCAAATATTTAATGCAAATAATAATGAGAGTAATTGATCGAGTGCGCCTGCTTTTGTATGTCTGTGTATTTGTAGGGTAACTGCTAGTCGTACACTCTCACTTGCCTTTACTTTATATACATATACTTTTGATTGCGTGCTGCATGTGAATGTGGCACGTGCACAGCGCCCACTATCCAGAGCTCCAGTTGTGGCTGCTGTTGCTGCTGCTGCTAATGAGCGCAGTCACTTAAACGCGCTGAATTTGTTGAAAAATTTAATATATGTGTTTAGTGCATTGACTCTGGCCAGCAGACATGAACCATGGAATTTGGCTAAGCGTGGCATGTGCATTACTGCACTTGCCACTAAATGTTGCAACTTGTGTGGCCTTTAATACAATGACTAACTGGAGACTGCAGCCAGTTTGAGCAAATTTAATTACTAGGTAATAGCTTTATTCACTATTCTAATGAGTTTTGCTAATGTTTTAAGCTAATTGAAGGCAAAAATTGGGCTCAAGCTGGGCTATCCATGAAATTTCACTAAGGTTTTTCCTTCAAGTATTAGTTGTTCAATCAAAATATGATTCAATTTAAGTTTGCATTGAAGTGTGACACAGCAGTTCACCTTGCAGACTTAATTTTAATAAGTAGGCGAAGAGAAATGTTGCTAGATACATTATATAGGTTTAGAGTGAGAGATATAGTTAAATACACAGTTGAGAGGAAAGAAAATGTGGTTTGTCAGTAAAATACAAGGTGTACAGCTATAGAGCATGTTCAGCTTCAAGTAAATTTAGCTTTAGTTTATATATTTTCCACTATATTTGTGTCAGAATATTTATGACTGCTGCGCTGCCTGTCAACTATATGTATGAATATATGCTAACACAAGACAGACACAGCTGCACTATATCAACTATATTCTCATTCTAATCTAGCTTGAAAAACGAGCATCTTGGCTAAGCTAGACGAAGCCGAATGAGTAGTATGCGGGCAGATACAAACGGCAGGAATGAGCTAAGATCTCTTAGGCAACTGCAAGACCCAACAGACTTCATCAATAAGTAGAGGAAGAGTAGAAGACTAAGAATAAAATATATGTAATTGAATTTAGAAGTAAATAGGAACAAAAGATGCAGAAAAAGCAAGCTAAAGAGAAATCTGTGTTTAGCTAAATTCATTGCCTATGCCTTCGTGTATATATCTTTCTTCTCTATAATATGTAGTACACAAATAATACTTTTATCGAGTGACTACTGTAGGTTCAATTAGCGCAAGTGTCAGCGAATCCCCCTAAAATAATATCATTTGACATATAGATCAAAAATGCAGCTGCCATTGCAAATATTTATGTAAAGTTTACAACTTTCACGCTGACAATTTTAGTTTTTTGTTTCTTAATAGCGCTCATGCGAATGTTAAGCCCTGTGGCTATTTAACTTCATATCACGCATATATATTATTTTGTTCAAATTGAATTTGTGTCTGTGGCAGAGGGAAAAAACAAGAAAGAAGAAATGTTGGCCATAAGTCTTGTTGGCTGTGGCCAGCAAAGCCCACTTTTGGCCAGGTTATTAAAAGCATTATGAATAAAAAGCCAGCTAAGCTTTAGTACTTTGGTCAATGCCAAAGTATACAAACGAATGTAAATATATATACATATATAAATATGTAAATATATATAGTATAAGTCGGCTGTTACTTTGTGGATCTGTTGCAGCTGCTGCGGGTCTGCGTTTGCTAATTGAATTGGCTGCTGCTGCTGCTGCTGCTGCTGCTGTTGGACATTTGTACACCTGTCGCACACACACACACTCCGACATTAATATACATATATATATATATATATATATATATATATAAGTATTTACACGCACGTGCGCACAACAACTATTACAACAGCCGGTATACGGCTCCTTGCCACGCCCACTTGTCGCACAGTCATACACACACACACACAGATTGAATGCTCGAATCAGCAGTCCCCACGGCGCGTGCACCTTAATACGCATTCATGCGTACAAAGAGGCGTATGAGTGCTGCGATATTTACCAGATATTTGCTGTTATCTGCCTCAATGATGGCTATGACAAGGATACCATTTTCAGTTTCATTTTGGGTTTGCGCTCGCTCCCTCTCCCTCTCTCTCTCTCTCTCCCTCTCTTTGTAGACGTTTAATTAAATGAAGTCGTTTGCATTAATGTCGTCATTACGCATTTGCCTACGGGCGCAGCAGCTCGCCAAGTGTCGAGCAGCGAAAGGAGCTGTTGTATCAGTAGTAAACTGAGTGCTTGAGACGCTGCTGCCACACAAAATTCATTACACAAATGGAGCGCAGGTGGCGCCTGTTGTCCATGCTCATGACATGTGCGCAACGGACAAATTTGTATCTATCAACAGCACTCAGAGTTCAGGCATTCGCATTCGATATGACAATGACAATTTCAACTTAATGCTGATTGCAATCATTACGTAATTGCATTTAGACAAATCTATCTGTATCTGCGCATTAAGCGACATGAGATATTGAAGCATTTCTGTGAGGAGCTGAATATGTGATGGGAAATGGCATTAATATTGTGCATTGTGTGTAGAAATTCGGAATGGCTAGATAAGATAAGGACATAAGCTCTACTTGTATATGCTCTTAATGCTGCTCTCTTTATGGCTACTCCTTGCTATGGCTATACTAGCTGACAGCTTAGTTTGATACTTCAACATCGAGACTACCTCAAACGAGCTTCAATGTCTGTGGCCTTACTCAACAAACTTTATGAGCAGAGTAAACGATGGCCACTCTCTCTCTCTCTGTTGGTTATGAACTCTTCCTTCGCTCTACTTTCCTTTAGTTCAATTCAGTATCAATTTTGTGTTTGCTGCCCAACCAGGACTCAACGTCAAGCGTATGCCTATCATCAGCAGCACTCGATCGTGGCGCGTTTGGTCTCGGCTGTTGTCTTTTGCACACGCTGGTTGTTAGCTGGGCAAACGCACGAATATTGGGGCACAAATCAAATCAAACACGGCTTTCTCCAGCTGACTGAGGCAGTTGTAGCAATAGCGGGCCATCAAGTGGGCCCAAGTGGGCGGTAACATCAGCCTGCCTGTCAGCTGCCACCTGCCACCTGCCACCTGCCAACGGCCAACTGCTACCTGGCGACCAGCTACTTGTCTCGATTGGTTTTTCATTTCTCTCTATTGCCGCTGCTGCTGTTGACCTAGCAACATGGACTAAAAAATGTTTCCAACTGCTGGTGACCAGCCAAATGACCGACTGTCGGCTGGAAAAGCGTGCTCTTAATTACCACAAACTCAAGCCGCATCCATGCCTCGCCAGCGAGCATTTTAATTGCCTCGCAAAAAGAAGCAAAGCAATAAAGAACTCAAATTTAGATTTAGGACTAGCTGCCATGCAACACAACTGGTCTTAGCTCAGTTCAAGAGCTACTTTAACTCATCGCAGGCCTTCAAATTGAAGTGTGCCTAGCAGTAACTTGAGATGATTAGCCACGAAGGCCAGCGACTCTACTAATAGTTGCCCAGTCAAGCGTAAGGCACTTTACCTACTGTGTGCTACAGATACAGCATCTGGTTACAGTATCTAATACCTTAACAAGAACTTGATTGAAGTGCTGCAGCTCTGCCGTGTGGATGCTGCAACGCACATAGACGTTCTAACAGCTTAAGCAATAAAAATTGATTCGAGTACTTAATGCAAATCTTGTAGTTATTCAAGAGCTTCTAAGAGGCTGATTTGTATGTTAGCGCTGAGCAGTAAAAGGAAGGCAAGTCCAGGCGAGGCTTTCAAACGAGTTGACAATACAAAGTATGCTGTTATCATAGATATAAACTAATTGATTCCCAGATTAAGTCGTTAGCTTATTGATGTCTATATCTTGCCTTTGGCTTAGTTTAAAGGTTGACTGAGTTGTCATGCCTTGTCATGACTCAAGCTTCAGGCTGCTCTAGTGCTTCTGTAGCCCCTTTAGCTGCCTCGAGACTGGCGAACCTAATTTGTTGACTTTGTAATGCTTGAATTTGTTGTCTAGTCTTCAGACTTAGTTTGGAGCTCAAAACTTCTATCCAATCTTGGCTTGGAATTCGAGCTGGAGCCTTGTCGGCTCATAGCACCAGCTTAATAAGATATTTAATATTTGAATCTTAAATTTAACTATTCGAACTTGCTTTGTATTTGAGGCTGTTTCTTTGGCTTAATTGAACTAAGACTGTTTAGAGTTCAATGTATAGCCCTGGCGTTACATTCAGTTAAAAGTTCGAATTAATGAACTTGTCAATAAATATATTTGAGTGCCACCGAAATGAGTGAGAGCAAATAGAGTGGAATGCAATGGGTATACTTTGTGGTTGCCTTAGCTGCCGTCTTTTGCAGCATATTGTTGATCCACTCCAGGTGATACCAAACGTCTGTGTAGAGCGATGGCATCGCCTTTGAACCACATCCTAGGCGGTCCGATACGATGGCCACCAATGTACCGTTATTCATCATCGGCGCACCCGTGTCACCGGCACATGGACTACTATCGCCGCCTTCCGCAAAATTGCCGGCGCATAGTATTTCGGGTTGGACGATTTTCAGTATTTTCTCACATAATTCATGCGCCAGTAGCGATACACGTATATGCACCAAATTACCAGAGAGTGGACCACCCTGTTATTGAGAGAGTGGTGCGAATGAAATGCGTTGCAGAGTGGCTCAGTGGTGCAGCCGTGACAGCCTACCTTGAACATACGTCCCCAGCCCAAGACCATATATTCCATGTCATAATTGACAGCTTCCGTGGGCATTTTGACGATCGCGATGTTGGGATTGTTAGTCGGCCATGATTTGTTCAGCTTCAACAGCGCAATATTGTTTCTGAAATTTTTTGTAAAATTTTTTGACACCAAGACTTTCTTAACTCGTCTCTCGACTGTATTTTCGATATGGATTAGTCGATTTGGTGTACCGCCTATAACGACAATGGATCGAGTCTCGTGCGGCACCATAAAAGAGCTGTGAATAGAGATATAAAGGAAATGTATATATATAATTATATATATTTATATAAATATATATATATATTTAAATATTTATATATATATATACATATATATATATAGTTGTATCTCACCTCATTGTGCACATGGCAGCTGTTAGTACGAACGTTGGCGCTACTATACTGCCAATGCAATAATGATTGTCACCAAATCGGATCTGTGGCATATTCGAGCGTATGGAGACCACATATTTAGCAGCGATTTTTGTGTCGCTGTCTAAATTGGGTGAGGTTAGGCGTTTTGATCGCTTTAAAATTGTATTTTCGGCGCGCCGAATCGTGTCAAATCGTGGAAAGAGCAGGAGCAGCACCAGCAGCACCTTACATACAACAGAACAGCTCTGATTTAGCATTTATCTGTGTTCAGCGAGTGGTGATCGAGCTGCAAGCGTTACCCGCTGACATATTCCGTCGCAGCGAGTGCATACGATACGACTGCGTGCGTGGGTGTTGTGTGGTGCTTGAGTCAGACGATCTTTTTTATTTTGTTTTATTTTTTTGTGACCCTGACAGATAAAAAAAAATAATTAGTTTTAAAACATGTTGAGTACAAATTTGACTTTTAAATGACACTTCAAAGGGACAACAAATCGAAAAAGTTCTTAAAACTGTGCTTTGAGCGAAATGGAAGAGTTCATTAATTTTGAACCGGAAAAGAGCAGCTAATACACAACGCTCATATGCCCGACAACGGTTGGGCAAAGTACAGCAAATGAGATACATCAAATTGCACATTCAATATATTTCAGTTGAACAGATAAATTTAAAATACTAACACTGCCAGTGAAAGCAAGACGATCTCTTGAATGAAGTGACATGCAGCGGCATTTATTATACTGTCGATCCAGGTTCTATGATAAAAGACATTCGTGTAGACCGATGGTAGGTTGGGTCTGTCGCAGCCCAAACGATAGCTAGCGATTCCATACACGATATTATTTCGTATTAGTGGCGCGCCTATGTCACCCTCACAGGGACTCTGCGGTAATATGCTATTCTCATTCATGGCACACAGCATTTCCTCCTTGAAGGTTCTAAGCATGGATTTGCAGGTGTCCACATCCAATACGGTCACATTGATGTGCAAAATGACCGTTGCAAATGGTCCACCCTAATAGTTAGTATACAAAATATATAGCGATAATCGTCGAGTGGACTTGGCTCACCTGAAACATTCGACCCCAACCCAATACGTAATAGCTCTGATTAACCATGGGATCCGTTTTGGGCATAGATATAATGGCAACACCTGGATTGTCTTTGGGCCATTCGTTCTTTAATTCCAGTACAGCAATATTATTCGTGTTCTTGCTGGTAAAATTGATTGGGACATAAATCTCTTTGACTGGCATGTTGACCGACTTATTATCGATGAATTTTAGTCTGTTTGGTGTGCCCGCCACCACCATGATCATACGGCTAGGATACTTAAATTTGCTCATACTATATGTGAAAAACAATGTATGAAATAGAAGATTTAAATTAAGTGAATCATTCAGTATCTACCCACTCCATCACACAATGTGCGGCTGTCAAGACGAATCTGGGCGCTATTATCGCACCACCACAGTAATGATTGTCCCCATAATATTTAATTGGTGTCCTTGAGCGTATTGATATCACATATTTGGCCATCTGGAGCGTTTGATTCTTGTCAAAGTCGGGCGTTGACAGTCTTTTTACGCGATTTACTGATGAAACTGGATCCACAAGTATTAATAGCAACATTATCGTCTCTATCACTGAACAATTTCGACAACTCATGTCCAGCTACAAAGCGATCCAATTAAAAATTTTGAAAAATAAATTTCTTTCGGAATTTATTTGTTGACCACAGTTTCCATTCTTCCGCATTGCAAACAAATTCGATTACGCGCCACTTGCATTAATAATATTAAGAATAACAGAATATAAAAATAGTCTCGATTGCCAACTTTTTCAAATGTACTTTGAGTGTTTAATGTGACTTGTATTGTTTTTTCTTTTCTTTTTTTTACAATTAATTGGTGCTGAAGGTGTTGTACATAGAAGCAGAGAAAAGCGCAAGTAGAAGTGCATGACTTGAGAGCGCTCGACTAGGACTTAATCTGACACACAGACAGAACAAGCTTATAGACACATGCTATAGCAAATTAGTCAGGTCACAGGAATTTCGGAGTCACATACTCTAAGAAGTGTTTGAGTGAAACACAAAGAACAAGTTTCTACTCATTTTTAAAGCATAAATATTAAATTGAAATTGCTTTTAATTTAGCTTAGAAGTCCATGTAAAATATACATAAAGCTGTAAAATCAGGAAATAAAATAAGAATTAAATATTTTATATATTATATATATTATAAATATTATAAATATTATAAAAATTATAAATATTACAAATATTATAAATATTATTAAAATTATAAATATTATAAATATTATATTTATTATATATATTATATAATATATAATTTAAATTTAATGTCTCTAGCTTTAGTAGTTAACGAGATAACTGGGCTCATGCGGGGAGAAAGCAAAACAGGCAGAGGCCAGGAATAAAGAGGTGGGTGAGGCAAACAGACAAACAGATATATATATATATATACATCTATTTCTATATATATATCAATTCTATTTAACTTTGCGCAGCTAACTCAATGCTATAAATAATGCCAAATAGAGTTTGATTGCTTGATGAATGTCGTTTCTATTTTTGATAACATTTGAAATATGCCGCTCGACTTGGCCAGTTGTCTGTCAAGTGTTGGCCAAAAGATACTTTTGCCTGTAGTTAACGAGCAGCGTGAAGTCCTTTTTGCTTTTGTTTTTCTTGTTGTTTTTGTTTTTGTGGCATTTGAAGTTGTTCGAGCGAGCAACCCGGCTCAATGTCAATTCAGTTGACAGCTGTAACGGCTAAGCACTTGACTATTGTAATTTCAAATGTGTCAGACAGTGGGTATTGAGTGGGTGGGGACGTAGGGGCGTGGGGGTGACTTGGTCGGAGCAACAGTGGCTGTTGGTGTTGGTGCCCGTTGAAGCTTTTATTGCGTGACTTCCCTTTGGTCTATTGCGTACAGCTTGCTGCAACAAGAAACTCTTTGTGTGCGTGTGCGTGTGCGCTCTCAAGTATGTTTTAAGCAAAGTTTGCGCATAAACTTTCTGCCAAAAGTATTTGTGGCTCAAATATTTTCATTTGCCTGTGGCAGCTGCACCAAATAATTGTGGCTCTCGACCCACTCTCGTTCCCTCTCTCTCTTTCTCTGGCCACGTCGTGACTGGCCGCTTCGCTGATTTGTGGCAAGCAAATTTATTGACAATTCATGGCGCCAACACCACCAGCATCATCACCACCACCACCATCACCACCACCATCATCCACAAGCACTCCACAGCCACAAAAGCTGTTCAAGCGTTTTCTATTTTTTTTCTTTACTTTTTTTTCTCTGTGTTGAACTTTGGCGCAAGTTTGTCGCAAGTTGCGCTTTCCGTCTGGAGGCTGGGGTCCATGACAAACTGCTCGACCATTTAAGTCGTAGATTTTTCATTTTTCATCTTTAGCTGCCGCTGCTAGTGCTGCTGCTTCTTCACTTGCTTGAATCTCTGCTCCCAGCAGCTGGCCAAAAAGACAACAAAGTTTAAATTAATGGCACTCAACTATTAGCAAAAATTAAAAAGCCAAGGCGTTTGCTTAGCACAGAGTGAGCGAAACATAGAGAGAGAGAGAGACAGCGAGAGAACTTGTGCAGGGCGTGGCAGTTACGCCCATTGTTTTGAGGCCAGAAAGCAGCGGCAAACTGTGCGCCAATTAGCGCTGACAGCGTTTTGAGTCAAGCAACAGGCCCAGCGGGCGAAAGTGTGGCGAGACGGCTAGAGTGTGTGTATGGACGCGTGTGCGTGTGTGTGTTGCCTGCAATAAAACTTTTGTCTACATGACATGGAAATGCACTTTCACTTGCCCAAAAAATATGCCCAAAACGAGCTGCCAAGCAAATATGATTGCAGCTGTAACTGTAGCAGCTGCGGCTGTTGCTCTTAACTTGGTCAGCAGGCTTTAAGGTTAAACGTCAGCTGTTGCTGCTGCTCCATGCATTTATTATAAATTTATGCAATTGTATTAATAAATTAATTGGACTGATTTGTGTGTGAGAATGCCAGAATGTGCGTGTTTGTGTGTGTGTATGTGTGTGCGTGGCAGCTAAATTAATTTGAATTTACTGCGCAACTCCAGCAGCAGTAAGTGCAAATACATGTCGCTCATACGCCGAGTTTGCCACGCAAAATTAATTAAGCAATTTTGCATTGTGTGAGGGGTCATTAGGGGCGTTGGAGCGCCGGGGCTGTTAAGTTGGAGCACGACGGCCAAGGGGCAGCTATAAGTTTAGCCGGAGAGCTCTCTGATGCATTGCTTTGCGAACGCTAATTGAATTAAAGGTGTTCTTCAGCACAACGTCTCCTGCGCTATAATTAAAAGCGGTTGACCAATAATCAATTGACAGCGCAGCTGGAGACAGGTACAACAATCGCTGTAGCAGCAGCAGCTGACAGTTGACAAAGCAACAGCAACAGTTACAGTAACAGGCCAGACAGCCAGCCAGCTGGCTAGCTAGAAGTGTTGTCAGCATTCGAGTAATAGAAATAAATTGGCGCCGCCTGCAGCTTCAGGTTTAACTTCAGCTTCTTGGCTATTGTCTGCCACGGCAGTCAAGTGCCACTCGTGTCTGTGCGTGTGTGTGTTGGCTCATGAATTGCCAAGTACGCCCAGTTGCCAGGCAGCTGCTTGGAGCTAATGAAACGCTCGCTTGCGTGTGTTTGCTCGCATCCCTTTATGTGTTTTGGTATCTAATTTTTATTTTGTTGTACTCCCTACTCTTCGTTTGGATTCTGTTTTGTTGCATGCCCCATAAAGGCGCACGTAATTAAGTCTAACTTTATTAGCACATTTGTTCAAGTGCTTGAAGGTGTTGCGTTTCCATGCATGTGGCCCAAAAGCGAGGGAAGACATCAGAAAATGCCAAAATACCTGTACAGATGTGTGTGTGTGTGTGTAAAGTGTTTAATGAATAATATTTGAGTGTGTCTCGAAATAGCTTTCGGTGTCATTTAACTTATGTTTTTTAAATTGCAACGAAACTCGAAATTTAACAAATTTCCTTAAGAATTTTGGCAAAATTTTATAGCATACTTTTAGGCATAAGCTAAAAAGATGAATAAATATTAAAAAATATATTTATATGCAAAAATATTTGTATATTATATATATATGAAAATAATAAAAAGAATTGAAAAGTAAATTAAATGAAATTAAATAGTATAAATAAATATTTCTATTTAGGAAATATTTGTTGATTCTCTTGCACTTAAATATTCAAAGAAAAAAAATTGATTTGAATTGTTTCATATGAAATGTGAACTATTTATGGATATAGTTTATAAAACAAATACAATGATATTTATAGAATATTCTCAATTTATTTAAGCTCAGCTTCGAGTGAATTGAAAACATAGTTTATCATGTAAATACAAGAATTCAATTTTGTTGGAATTAAAACTCAGATTTAATTATTTAATGCGTTTTGCCACATATCTAAAACTGTTTACGTTTTTATCCATGGACCCGTTATTCAACCCTAAATTCACAGCATGTTTTATTTTATTTAATTAGAAAACCCCCCTCCTGAAACTGAAACTGAAATACATTTAGTTTTAGCTTTATTCGAGTAATGTTTATATATATATATATATCTATGAGTTGTTCGACTCTTGTTGTTGCTGTTAATTGTTGCTGAATGTTGTTGTTAATTGCAGTTGTTGTTAAAGGCCCAACCACCTGTAGCCACCAAACCACCAAACCACCAACCAACCAACCAACCAAACAACCACTACACCACCCACTCTCTCTGTCTGTCTCTTTCTTTCTTACTCCATCTGTGTCTCTATCTCTCTCTCCATAAATGTGTTTAAAGCAGCTTTCCCCTCCAAGCACACACAATAAAATGTTTATTATGAACAATTTGCAATTAATATAACTTTCTGTACACATTTCTCTTGTTTTTCACAAAAAAAAATATAAATGATGAAATTTAAACGAATAAAATTAAAATACACACACAAACCATGGCATAAATAAATTCAACTTGCATATGCAGCTGAGCAGCCGAACAAGGCCACTCCTACAGGCCGCCTTTGCCGTACAGCGGCCATTGATGGCGGTGACGCAGACGCCGACACGATTGCTGGCAATGACGTCAAAGCCACTAACGCACACGATGCTAGAGCTGGCGATAATGATGATGATGACGATGACGTTGATGATGCTGCAGCTGAACGATGGCGGCCAAGTGTGCTAAATGCAACAACTGTCACACTGGCAGATAGCAAACAAAACAAAACAACAGCAACAACAGCAAAACATCAAAACAACATAAGAAAAACAACAACAACAACAACAACAGCAACAACAACAAGAGCAACGAGTCTTGAGAAGGCGCCACGCGCTAGCTTTTTGAATATAATGCAGCCACGGCTATCATTGAACGGCATGCTCAATCCACCATATCCATCGCTGATGCCATCACCGCGTCCTTTATACCGTGATCATAGCTCCAGGTCCATCAATCCGCTAACTGCTTACGAGCAGCAAATGGCGGAGCTCGATGGCAGTTTCTATGGCAGCAATGCGGGTTATTTGGGCGGCAGTGCCGGTGGTGGCACCACATGCACCAACCTGACTGTGGGTGGTGCTAATACAAGTGGCGGCGGTGGTAGTGGTAGTGGTGTTGGTGGTATGGGTGGTGCCAGTGGCACACAAGTTGCTGGTGGTGTTGGTGGTGGTGCTGGTGGTGCCTTTCATACAACTGAACTTTCAATAACACCAACAATGCCAGCTGATGAGCAGTTTATTGATTTGGGTAGCCTGCGTCGCTTCTCAATCGATCGACAAAGCTTTCTGGGTAAGGCTGAAACACTGTGTGCATGAGTGTGTGTTGCTCCATATATATATATACCTGTTGCATAACCTCTCCATACCTGCCACAATTTCAATTATTCAAATTGTTTTTTTGAACTCTTTTCGCACAGATCTAGGCCCCAAGTTTGGCATGTCCCAGCCGAAATTCGGTCAGAGCGTCTCGCAACAAGGTTTCTTTACGTCGCATGACAGCCTGGCCACACCATGTGCATCCAGAGCATCGAACTCGCATATGGCCAACGTAAGCACTGCCTCCGAAATGGATTTATTGCACAACAACAAGCAACGCCCCAACAACAACAAGTCGCGCGGACGTCTGAAAACAATTGGCGGCGATCAGCCACTGCTGGGCACCTGGAATCGATCCACAGGCCGCGGCTCGCAGGATAACACGCTAAGTGGCGGCGGTGCTGGTGGCGCTGGCAGCGGTGGTGCTGGTGGCGGTGCTGGTGCCACCAACATGCTCATGGGTCATACACAATATGGCGGCAACTATTGCAATGGCACAGATCGGTGAGTAGCGACGTCTGACTCGTGTGGAACTTAACTTATTCTCTTTGTGTGGCACTTGCAGCTACCCGCGCTCGCGTTCGCAACAGCATCACAATGCCGGACAAGCGACGCACCACCCATACCAGCTGCAACACTCTGCCTCCACGGTATCGCACCACCCGCATGCGCATGGTCAATCGGCACAAGGTGGACCCGGACCACCTCATGGCGGCCATCCACACCATCAGTCACATGGTGGCAGTGGTGTTGGTGGTGGTGGTGGCATTGGTGGCGGTGCTGGTTCCAGTGCTGGTGGTGGACATGCAACACAGCCGCATCACCAGAAACCGCATCGTACTGCCTCGCAGCGCATTCGCGCCGCCACAGCTGCCCGCAAGCTGCATTTTGTCTTTGATCCGGCGGGGCGGCTGTGCTACTATTGGTCCATGGTGGTTTCCATGGCCTTTTTGTATAATTTCTGGGTGATAATTTACCGCTTCGCCTTTCAGGAGATCAATCGTCGCACAATTGCCATTTGGTTCTGCTTGGACTATCTGTCCGACTTTCTATATCTGATCGACATATTCTTTCACTTTCGCACCGGCTACCTGGAGGATGGGGTCCTGCAGACGGATGCCTTGAAGCTGCGCACTCACTACATGAATTCGACGATCTTCTACATCGATTGCCTGTGCCTGCTGCCGTTAGACTTTTTGTATTTATCGATCGGCTTCAATTCGATACTGCGCAGCTTTCGCCTGGTGAAGATTTATCGATTTTGGGCTTTCATGGATCGCACGGAACGGCACACGAACTATCCGAATCTGTTTCGATCGACGGCCCTAATACACTATCTGCTTGTGATATTCCATTGGAACGGCTGCCTCTACCACATCATACACAAGAACAATGGCTTCGGCTCGCGCAACTGGGTCTACCACGACTCCGAGTCAGCGGACGTAGTGAAACAGTATCTGCAGAGCTATTACTGGTGCACCCTAGCATTAACCACCATCGGGGATCTGCCCAAGCCCCGCTCGAAAGGAGAGTACGTCTTTGTGATATTGCAATTGCTATTCGGTCTGATGCTATTTGCTACGGTGCTCGGACATGTAGCAAACATAGTAACATCAGTGAGTGCAGCGCGCAAGGAATTTCAAGGTGAGTGCTAGAAAAACTCATTTACTCTAACGGTTAAGTGATGAAACGGTTATGTGGGAAAGTGAATTTTAGAAAAGTTAAGTTATAAAACTCAAATGTAGATAAATATTGAGTCTTTTGAACAGAATACAATTGGCTATGAACCGGTTATGAATCGGTTATGAACCGGTTATGAATCGGTTATGCATCGGTTTTGAACTGGTTGTGTAATGACAGATAAAATTGACTCTGAAAGCTATAAATGATTTATAATTGCAAAAATATCGCTTGATTGAAGGTGATTTAGTAAAGTCCAAAGCCAAACGGTTATAAAAGAAAGGTAATATTCCGTGAAACGTATATACTGATAAATATCAAGCTCTAAAATACAACATAGCTCATACAAAATGACTTTTAAATGTATTTATGAACCGTTTGCGAATCGGTTATGAATCGGTAATACTCAAAATGCAAAATAATATAAAAAATTTATAATATTTATTTATTTGTAAGGCTATAAAACCCAAATTAAACTAGCCCACAATCCAAAAGATTATCAAACTATGGAAATTATAGAGAAAAATAAAACTAAGGATAAAATGTTATTAATCAAACTGAGATTGCACCCTAAACTGCTCACAACTTTGGAGCGTATGTAAATATCATTATGACTATATTGAGGGGAAAATAGTAAAAACGATAAGCAAACAGGCTGAATACATTAAAAAGCAAAGAAGGCTTTAAGAGGTAGACCCAACAAAGGGCTCAACACACACGCAACATAAGTTGCACTCCAAATGTTTCTTAAAAACAAACTAAGCTTTAAGAAGAACAAAAAAGAATAGAATGAGGGAAATAAGAACGAAATGTGTGCTTGGGCCCGAAACGTAAAAAATAATTGTTAAGCTCTGGAGAGTTGCATAAATCACAGGATACAATGTTGAAATGTAATCATTATCCGTAGCTTGTTGTTGTTGGTGCTTCTTTCTATCCTTATCAGGAGAATTTTAAGCTGGAATTTATAAATTGTTGTTGTTTCTTTTTGTGTTGTGGCTTCAATATTTACGAGCTGTCTGATTAAACTGTTGCTCAGAGCTAGGTCTGTTACGCACACATCTGAAGCAGATACACATGCACATACATATGGGAACAATAATCCGCAGCCAAGATGCGGACAGACGTACAAAAGGACAGGCGAGTAAACGGATGGGATACATGCGAATAAAACCTGGGGGCTTGGATACATTTGACAAAACAGAACAATGAGCAAAGCTCCCGAAAGTATGCAAAACTTTTTGGCTTTGCCATTTTAGCTGCTTAAATTGAGGAAAATTTGTTGTGAGTGTGCGTGTGCCAGCAATTGTATACTATATATATATATATATAATATAAATAAATATATATATATATGGAAATCCGACTGGCTTACGTTAGATGTCTGCTCCTTTTTGCGGCAGACAAGATACAGCTCGTGCTCATGCAGCTTGAACAAGCTCCTTGAGCAACAGACTCTTGTGAGCTCAGTAGGCCATGCGGCCATTAGCTAAATGAACTCGTTTATTTGCTCCATAAATAACTGGGCAAAAATGCAAGTGTCGCCATTGCAACTGCGACCGAGTGTACTGTCCTTCCTGCCGACGTCCTGTCGTTTTAATTTCAAAAGAACGCCCAAGTCAAATGGTTGGCAAGCAATTCAAGAAAATGAACAAAACTGGCTGAGACGGGCAGAGATAGAGGGAAAGGCAGAGGTAGAGTGGCATGGACTTTCATTAGGCGAACGTCAGCTGAAAATATTAAGGCCACTCAACGCCAAACGAACCAGAGACGTCAGGGAAGAGAGAGGGGCAGAGAGTGTGTCGTCAGCAGTGGACACTGGCCGGCTGGGAACTGAAGGCTGTGGCCGTTGCTTAGGGCAAACAAAGCAATTCCTCTAGCTTCATTGATGGGCGTGGCAAGTGTTGTCACCTCCACACACTGATACACTCATAGAGAGCTAGAGGATAGCAGCCACATGCAGCTTTAACATGTTTACACAACACTTTTTCATATGCAAGTGTGAGTGTGTGTGTGATTGAGGGTTTAAGAGAGAGAGAGATTGGGCAGGGCAGGGCAGGGCAAAAAGTCAGCAAGCAAAGCTCAGCGGCTTAATGGACGAAACGTGCTGCTGCATTAATTTCTGGTTTTATGCACTCGAAACTTTTTTGTTTTTTTTTTTTTTTTACTCTCATATTTGCATGCAGCAAATCTCAATTTTTATTGCTGCAACGAATATGCACTGGAAATTTGTGAATATCATCTGTGTTACAATGAACTCAGATGTTTATGATCATCTGTTTAATCTGGAAGAAGATAGGCAAGAAATTCTTGCAAGCGCACTTGGTGACCGGCGTTGCCAGTGATGTCGGCTATTAACTTGATGCAATCTTTTTCGTCAATCGCTTCGCCCATGCTGGCCATAATGATCTCCAAGTCGTGTGCATTGAAATAGTTCTCCTTGCGACGATCGAATACGGCAAAGGCTTTGCTCAAGTTCTCTGCGCTGAACATGTCCTGCAGCTTGGGCGTCAACATATACAAAAACTGATCAAATCCAATATAGAAATTATTGTTAACATCTGCCGCTGCCATAAATTCGTGGAGCTCTGCTTCGGTCAGCGCATAGCCCACGTCAAACATGATCTGATACAGTTGGCGGATATCTATGTTGCCTGTCTGGTCCACATCATGTTTGTCGTAGATCAGACGCAGCTCAGCTAACAGCTCCGCGGACACAGGCGGCAGGGACATTAAGCTGATAACAAAAAATAATCAAAATAAGAACAAAATAAGTAAATAACAATTTCTCAACAACGAAAAACCAACTGACAATCAACTCAGAGTCGCAGCTTGAACTCGAGGGCTAATAAAACACTTAGGTGACCGTTGCGCTTCGCTGAGTTGGCAACTTTTCACGTAGTTTTTGCTTCTTTTTTTTGTGCCATGCCAAAGCCAGGCACAAGTTTTAGACCCACTGCTTGCCCCTTGCCACAATAATAATACATCATATAACCATGAACATGCAACGAGAACCATCCATCAATTTGTCAATTCAGCGCTTGCCGCTTCGAGTGCCTCCCCACCGACCACAAGAAGCAAACAACGATGCCTAATGCCTGCTGCCCACAGCCTGATGCCTGCTGATGCGAATCGCTGAGCTGTGCGGAAGTCGAGTTTGTTTGGCGTGCACAAAAAAAAAAAGAAACAAGCAAAAAAACATGACCAAAATCAAATGCAGCTATATTTTTTGGTGACGTTCAAATGCTCTTCAAGTGCGGCCACGCTGCGTATGTGTAATATATTTGTCGCATATAACTCATGCGCAGCGTGGACCGCAACACATGGAACTGTGTCAACAGCAAAATGTTAAAACCAAAAAAACGAAACACTGAGAGCAATTGACATTTTGCTGCAAGTGCATTGTAATTTGAATACTCAGCGCAGCTGCAAAAATTCTATTTGTTATCGAACTCTAGAAGTTTGTAGTGAGCTTAACAAAAACTATCCTTTAAATCTATGAATGCTATGAATACTATGAATACTAAATGAAAACTTTGACTAGTGTTTGCTTTGCATAACATTTCAAATCATTTTGGGGACAAACAGTCCTTGGACCTTTTAGAGAAGGTATTTGAGTGGGTTTTCAAGCTCATTTTAGTTGTCTTAAGAAATAATAAAGACTTAATTGAAAAATTATATTTACTATTTCTTTATTTACCATTTCTTTATTTACAAAACATTTTAAACTTATTTTTCCACCTCACTCACAGTGCAGATCTCTATTTACAGTTCCAGCTTGCGTTCCACAACACTAAACTATAAAACTCAACACATAAATCAGTTACCAAAGACCTTTGCTAACAGTTTTAACTTGTTTTAAACTGAAGAAACTTTCCACTTTCTTCAATAAAACTTTAAAATTCAACTTTACATAATTTCTTAAGCTCCATTCGAGGGTGTCGTTGCATTAAAAAGAAGCTGTCTAACTAGGCTGTCATTAATCTTCAAGTTTGCTCAAGTGCTTACAATTCTTAAGATAATTTATATTCATTAAACTTTTGCGCTTACTTTTCTGATTCAACTACACATAATCCTTTTTTATAATGAGAATTTGCATCCTCTTCTTCTTCTACTTGTTCTTTTTTTACTTCTCCGCTTGCAATCATTACGAACCCTAGAGCGTGACATTTTTGCGCTGATCTTTGATATCTTAACCTTTGCTTGGAAACTTATTTAGCTCCCTCCTCGTGTCTCTTTTTTTCTCTTCTTTAGCTCCCCTTCTTTGCATTTCACCTCTCTAGCTCTCTCTCTGTCTCTGTTTTGCAGGCAAATATCACAAATACCTCGAGTCATGGCTTAGGGCGCAACACTTTAGTGATGGCCTTCTGCTACATTAAGCAAACTCCCTCTGGCCAACAACTTAAAAACTTATATATTTACTTAGTAACACGCAGCCAGCCAGCGAGCCAGGCAACTCGCACTTCCACTCATCCTTACTCAGTTGCGTTCTCGTCTTGGTTTCATCTTGGCTCGTGCTCAGCTCTTCTTGTGTTGCGCATGAAAATTGATTTTCAAATAGTTGGCCTGCCTTTTTTCAAATTTGATTGACGTTATTACATTACATAACATCACATCAGCCGTACACACACTCACACAGGGGACTTATACAAGCAGCTGGTTTAAGTTATTCATCCATTTAGCCCCACTTACGGAACGGCTGGCTGCCTCCCTGCCTCGTTGGCTGGCTTGCAGGCAACAACAAGTGGAAAACTGTCATTATATTTGAGTTATTGATGGTTTTTCAAAATCATTTTAGCAACAATGTTGTTTGCCACACACATACACACTCACCCACACACACACATACAAACCCCAACACACAAGCTACATTCACGCTTAGTTAAACGCAATGGCTGCGGCTTGTTAACGCTAAACAGGCGCAAACTTTAAATGCTGTGCGATTGTTGTTGCTGCTGCTGCCGCTG